CATAGCTTCTTGAAGATTTCATTCGCACAAAGTTTTCGATTAATTGCACAAAGTTTTCGATTAATTATACACCAGTCAACGATGAAAAATGATCCTTATCTAAGCAAAAGTTTCGCGGGTACGTTTTGGATTAGTTATTTAAATATAATTAATAATTAATATTTAATATTTAATATTAATATGTTCAATTAGAATTGTGATTGTTTTTTGGTATATTTGATGATAAATTATAATATATATTTTTTTATTTTGATTACACAAAAAAATAATAATTATCTTCCATCTCTTATCTCACCTCATTCATATATCATAGGACCCAAACACATGATCTTTTATTTTTAACGAAAAAAAAAATACTAAATTATTTAAACCATTGACATTTTTTTTTTCTTTCCAATATCCCTTCAAATTTAATTTAAAATTTAAATATAAAATTTTTAATTTAAAACCTCAAACTTTCGAAAAATTAAGTTAACATCTGTTAATAACAAGTGAATACCTGTTTATAAAACTTCAAAAAAGAAACACTTCCATTAAGTCAATCGAATCAAATATTCTGTTCTCATCCCATTGCACGTTCTTAAAAACCGCAGCATTTCTAGAAAACCAGACCGACCAATGGTGATGAGGAAGAAGAAGAGATAAGGCCGAACGGATAAATGAACATGAATTGCAGAGGTGAAATAGGTAAAAGAGAGCAAAGTTGAAAAGAAAACGAATGGGGGGTTGCGTGGTGGTGTTAGGAAGAAGGGACCCCAATGTACCATGGGTTGAAGCAGAGAGTGACCCATTTCTTCTGTGGGTCCTTCCATTCTCCCCTCCATTGCTTATAAGTGTTGTATGAGTCATTCAGAGATGATGTGAAAGAGAAAAAGAAAAAAAAGAAGAAGAAAAATAACAAACCTTCTCTGCATAATTGCATAAACAAACAATACCCTTTCTGCCTTACTCTGCTCTCTCCATTTCCTTCCTCTGTTTTTTCTTTCTCAAGTTCAGGCTGCGAAGAGAGAACCAAACCATGTATGTATTCTGTTAATAGTAATCAATCCAACTCGATCTTTGTGCTGTACTTTTGCTTAGCACATTTGTAGAAATAAGCAGCTGGAATTAGTTAAATTTGGGAAACCATCTCCTGAATAAGAATGACTGAACATCATTCCGAGGGGGAAAGCAGCTCCAACTCCTTGCCCTCTTCGCCGCAATCACCATCTTCTCCTGGGTCAACTCAGACTCAATCTCCTGTTCCCAACTCATCGTTGTCCCTTAACGCTAAATCCGAAACTCCTGACTCTCAAAAGATGAAGAGAAGCAGGGACTCCAGCAAGCACCCAGCATACCGGGGTGTCCGTATGAGGAATTGGGGTAAATGGGTGTCTGAAATTCGGGAGCCACGGAAGAAGTCCCGCATTTGGCTTGGGACTTTTCCGACCCCTGAAATGGCTGCCCGTGCTCACGACGTCGCCGCATTAAGCATCAAGGGCAACTCGGCGATTCTGAACTTCCCAGAACTCGCAAACTTGCTCCCTCGACCAGTCTCGCACTCCCCGCGAGACGTGCAAGCCGCTGCTGCCAAAGCTGCCCAGATGGACAACTTCGACTCTCCACCATCGTCTATGGCGTCCTCCACATTGTCCTCTTCGGCGTCGCTGTCGTCTTTGGTCTCCGCGATGGACCTGTCTACTGGGTCTGACGAATTGAGCGAGATAGTCAAGTTGCCAAGTCTGGAAACCACCTACAACTCCGACCAGCTGAAGAACGAGTTCGTATTCGTGGATTCGGTGGCGGAGTGGTTCTACCCTCCGCCGTGGTTGCAGAGCGTGGAGGATTATCAGGTAGGAGTACCGGAAACGGTGTTCCAAAATGGTTTCGAGTTATGGAGTTAGATTTAGTTCTGTATCTGTTTGTGAAAATGCGCGTGTGAAATTTCTCCTTTTACTTTTCTTTGGTACTTCAGTTTTTTGAGCCCTTTAGCTTTTTCTTTAAGGGCTACAACTCTGTGCCTCTTTCTCTTTCTATGTCAAAGTGACCTGTTCAACCTAACTGTATAGTTCAAGGAGTGTTAGCCTAATAAGCAGAGGGGAAGAGGGAAGTGTCATAAATTCCACCCTCTTTGTTGGTGCATCCACATTCCAACTCTTTCTAAATTCATAATGGTGTTTAATCGTCCATCTTACATGAACTGTAAATACCATAGTCTCAAAATCCAAGGCAGTCTTTTGGTCCCATGGGAGCTCCACACTACGGATTGTCTTTGAATGAACTGCAAACACCAAAGTCACATAATCCAAAGTAATCTTCTGGTCCCATAGGAGCTCCTTGCTATAGATCATGGGATTCATCTTTTCTTATCCTTTCTCCACTTGTTTCAAGATGCTGAAGAAGTTTTGGACTTTACCTCAGTTTCTCAGCATTGAAAACATGATAAACATTTCGGCATCTAGCCTTTTTTGTTGAGAATAAACATCAATAATTGAGGGAAAAGAGAAAAAAAACTTACGAAGACAGATCGAATTGAGCCAAAAACTGAAACTCAAACACCGAAAGCAAAGGTCCTCCTCTAAAAATAGCTTTAACTCTTTCACTGTCTTGAATGGCAGATTCCAGATGGTGAGATAAGGTGTGACCTGTGAGTCTGTGACAACGACCAATTTTTTCCATTAAGGCAACAGTAAGTATTTATCTCCTTGTGTTTTTTTTTTACCACTTTTAACTAAAAAATAATGAAACTTCACATGCCAAAGAAGAAAGGTGAACAAGATGGATTGGATTCAGTCCGGGTTTGTTTCTTCTACAAATTGAGAAAAATGGAGACTGTTCTACTTTTAACATGGCATATGCTAGAATTCACTGAAGACAAGACACAATATTTACCAATTTCTCTTTATCAATTTCTAAAAGCTGGGCTGGGCAGGGCAGGGCAGGGCAGGGTAATGCCCCACATGCATGAGGGAATCAATCTCAACAAATTTTCTAATATTTTCACCCAAATTATTTTTTTGTATGTATCTCTCTACTTTTAAAACTTTTCATTTAACCCCATGAATTTCTTTCTCCCTTACCGGAGTTTTTTGTTCATTTCGTCGAGGACAATTCAACAATTTCCAGACATACACTCAAAATAATTGATCATAAAGATCAAGTTATAACTTTTCACGGTGGAATCTTGTTAACATAGAGTCATATATACATATATATGATATCCGATCCCCATCCATACCAGACACTAAAATCTCGAAATCCCACTTCCCATTTCTCTTTATTGGACGCGTTTTTCTACACTTGTATATATGGATTCATTTCAAGAAATCATATCCCCTTTGACCCCATCAAATAGCTAGCTAGCTGGGACTGTGAGCCTTTTTAAAGGCTTACTAGGATCTTCTGCTTCTTCCACAAACAAATACAGGACCCCATCCACCACGAGTCCCCTTTTCCATTTTTTTTTTTTTTTTGTCCTCTTATTGATGATTTTTTCAATGCTTGTCTCATACCCTTTTTTTTTTTTTAAACAGAAGTGAGTTGAGATGAATGAACCTTAATTTCGCTACATTGTTGTTGGTTGAAGTCTGTTTCTTTTGAAATGTGAAAAGGGCAGTTATGAACCAGTGTTATTGGTCTAATAGTTCACCAGGCCTTAAAGTTAGGTGGTTTATTTAGTATGTCCTAAGTTAAATTAAAAAAAAAAAGTTGATAATTCTACCAACAACTTATTAAATAGTTTAAAAGTAAGTTCTTTTCGGTAAAAATAAAAGAATCTAAATTTAAGTCACATGACATAATATGATAGATTAAGGAATGGAAAAAAAATTACCTCTAATTATACAATAAAAAAGGGTAATTCCATATTAAAATAGTAATGCTCCAGTTATAATTAATGTCATATAAGATTATATATGTACAATTATGATATATCATTATATTTGACTTTTTTCACTTAATATTATGCTTATGATATTTATTTAGTGACACATATATATATATATATCATAATTATAAATTTATAATATATTGAGCATTGCTCAATTATTGATACAAAATCATGAGAAATAAATGAGGAAACATGCTTTAATTGAACAATGTAATATGGGTTATCTCTAGAACTTACAAATACATATATACAATCCAACCTACCATCATATCTTTCGTTTGCTTTCTACTTCTATTTCAGGAAACTCTTATAATGGGTTTCTTTCTTATAAGAAGATTGTTTCCAAATTAAATATGGCAATAATTGTTTTTTTTAGCTCGAGTTGGGCGGCGGAGGAAATTTTCAATCAATAGAAAGTTATGCATACTTTTTCTTTTTAATAAAGAAAAATGCAAGAAAATCAAAATATCTTCTATGGTCATAAACTTAAAAAATATTATATATATATATACATATATGTAAAGTAGAGCTAGGCCTTCTCAGTAGCTATCCCCTTATTATTAATACATTAAATTTTTAATTAGTATTTGACTAATAATTCAAAAAATATTGTAGTTCCTTCAGCAACATGTCTATAATTATTTTTCTGTAAGAAATTGAGAAATATATTAAATAATAATAAAGCACAGTAAAATCTCCATCACATGGCATATAGCCTAAAGCATGATAACCTAAAAACAAAATCAGAAGCAAAACCTACAGCCTAGTAATAGATTTAAGCTATGCCCATGACGAATATAGACAATTAAGTAAAGAGAGTCATCTGCAACTAGAAATTGCAATTGCAATCGCTCTATAGGCTAAATAGGGCTACTAATGTAGAAAGGAGAGTCACTATGAGCATTAGAAGCTACTGGACGTCCCCACCTAATTAACCAGCTTCATGGGAAGAGCAAAAGATTTCGGCAACAAACAGTCCCCAAACTATAGGTTGCCATCCAATCTATTCTTAAAAAATAATCAACAAGAAGAGGGGTATGGTCCTCCTCTGTGCAATCACAAGGTACTCCATTCGTCTGCAAGTGCTCCCAAACATGTTCCCATCTTTTCCAATCCCCATCTAGCCCTTGGTACCATAAGTTATTAAGGGAACTACAGCCCCTTTGTCAGCTTGAATACCATAATTCCCTTGTAGAACACCATCAGCTTCCCCCACAGCATGTAAATTTGACCCTTCACACCAAAAGCCACCTATGGCCCCCCACGCATAGCTCGACCGGAATCTGAGATTGCCCCTCTCCCTTTTTTGATTTGCTCAAGATATCATTGATGTCGCCTAAACGCATCTAGGGCAGAGGGGAAACTATCTTAGGTGATTTAAGAAGGGTCCATGACTCCTCCCTACAAGTAGTCTTTGGTTGGTCGAAAAACCTTGTTAATTGTCATTGACAACCACCCGAATCTACTATTTCAACATATATGTGATATGGCAAGAAAGAGGAAACTTGAAGGTTAAACGCATCATTCTAGAACAGATTCAAGCCACCCCTTCTCTTTGTACAATCGCTTTCAGAACAGTGAGCCAACCCTAAATCTATTCGGAACCAATTCATCTCCATCCCCGTTTGCTTTGTTGCAAGGAGCAGGACAAAATTAGGCTTTTGTTGGAAGCACAATTGGTTTGGCTCAAAGATCATGTAATCCTCTCCAAGATTGCAATAATTCCAAGCCAACATACATGGTTGAGCCATGGAAGGAAAAGAAAAAGAAACAAGGGCAGAAGCCCTTCAAAATAGGGAGTAGTGCCTAGGCGAAGAACTCACCCGTCCAAAGGAAATCCTAGCAGCGGCAAGAGAGAGATCCAAAATCCAGTTATGAAAATTTATAATTTTAAATTATAAATCACACATGTACGAGGAGTTTGAGAAAATAAAGGATTATATGGTGTTATACTCTAACTCATTGTTGAAATTGTTAAAAGAAATGCAAAAAACATTCCCTTCTAAAAATACCAAAACCATGGAATTAATCACGTTTTTTTCATGGTTAATTACTCAATTAATTAGATAGGACTATCTCTTGAAAATCTTGAAAATATATATCCATAAGTTATATTGTAATTATCATTCGCTTTATATCAAACGTCTAATCGATCAACTAATCATTCCCTTCAACATTATATTAGGTAGCTTTTTCCCATAAAAAATAAAGTAAAATGTAAGATATTACATCACAAATATGAAATCACTGTGATCACTCAATAAATTATTATAATTATATGAATTTTTAAATTGTATTTTTTA